AATGATGGTGAGATTACATGATTACATTTTTATGATCTGAGCTAGAGTCTGACGTCCACTGCTCGCAACACAGCTCAGGAAACTGATTAGTGCTTCTTTGGTGGATACAACATGTAAGATTAAATCAGAAATGAGGGATGTGCTGAGTGCAGATACAGATCGGAGAGAATGAGATGAAACATAGTTTGTGGTACAAGTTCAAATTTAATTACAGCTCAGAGAGTAAAATGGTGTTTGCAGGCAAGTCATTCAAGCTATGGGCGACCGTGACGAGCTACATGCGATCACAACCATCAGTTGGAGGTTTTTGGTTCAGCACGCTCTTCTTCATGACTGATTTCCCCCAGCGACCGTTTGCCATCACCAAGCAGCGGCTGACCGGTCTCTGAGCCTATGAAGCAGAGGCTTTAGCTCTCTAGTTGAATGAGACGGATCCTGTTTCTCTTGTCCTTCTCATCCTCTCTTGATATTTTTGTTAAGGGTAAACCTGACCTGAACACATCACTCCCAGTCAGACAGACGGCCTCCATCTTTAAGCAGCCCGTTACCAAGGTTACCAACCATCCCAACAACAAAGTGAAGACGGACCCTCAGAAAGCCGTTGACCAGCCCAGACAGGTGAATAAACTGTTACTGTGACAATAAGCCAGAGAAATGAGGAGGCCTGTAATCTGATACTGTAATTTAAAGGATCAGATAATGAAGAGTGTGTGTAGCTAGGAAACTGGACAGACCAGTATTGCTTGAATACTGGTGGATTGGGGGGGGGTTACTGCATTCGTAGGAACAATGTATTTCTGTTGAGAACTGCCTGCAGCTGAAACATTCTTCCTTATTTTGTTCACAGTTATTCTGGGAGAAGAAACTCAGTGGTCTGAATGCTTATGACATTGCAGAGGAGCTGGTGAAAACAATGGAACTGCCTAAAGGCCTGCAAGGTAAAACTTCATCAGCCTCACCAAGCACTTTATGTCCTAAAATGACATTTTGGTATTTCCTCTAAGAGCAGTTTTCGACTGAGCTCAGTAACTGCTAAACTTTGATAAAATATAAATAAACATGGGTGTAGTTAACAGTTTCTGGAAAGTGTTTGGTAACCACATGCTGGTCCCACAGGTGTCGGTCCAGGTTGCACAGATAAAACTCTCCTGTCGGCGATTGCCAGCGCTCTGCACACGAGCGCTGCTCCAATCACCGGGCAGCTGTCCGCCGCTGTGGAGAAGAACCCGGGAGTCTGGCTCAACACTGCGCAGCCACTGTGCAAGGCCTTCATAGTCACTGATGAAGACATCCGGTGGGTTTCTTAAAACAGTCTACACGTGTTTTGGGTTTTCAGAAAAAAAATCTACTCATGTTTACCTGAGCCTGTGATTTTCAGTTCCAGGAAGTAAGACCTCCAGTAGTGGAGTAAAATTGAACTGAATTCAATTTTATTTATACAGCACCAAATGGCAACAACTGTCGCCTCAAAGCACTTTGTATTGTAAGGTAGACCCTACAATAATATATACAGAGAAAACCCAATAATCATATGACCCCCTATGAGCAAGCACTTTGGTAACAGTGGGAAGGAAAAACTCCCTTTTAACAGGAAGAAACCTCCGGCAGAAAAAGGCTCAGGGAGGGGCGGAGCCATCTGCTGCGACCAGTTGGGGTGAGAGAAGGAAGACGGGATTAAAAAACATGCTGTGGAAGAGAGACAGAGATTAATAAAAAGTATGATTCAGTGCAGAGAGGTCTATTAACACATAGTGAGTGAAGAAGAAACACTCAATGCATCATGGGAATCCCCCAGCAGCCTATGCCTACAGCAACATAACTAAGGGAGGATTCAGCGTCACCTGATCCAGCCCTAACTATATGCTTTAGCAAAAAGGAAAGTTTGAAGCCTGTCTGTTTCCTGAATCCAAACTGGAAGCTGGTTCCATAGAAGAGGGAACTGAAAACTGAAGGCTGTTTCCCATTGTACTTTTAAATACTCTAGGAACAGCAAGTAAGCCTGCAGTGCGAGAGCGAAGTGCTCTAATGCTGTGATATGGTACTATAAGGTCATTAAGCTAAAGAGAGATGCAACAGGTATCGATTCTTTCTATCCCAAATTTAAATGCATTAGAAAAATGGGGCTATTTGCCAAATGCAAAGTAAGCTTGCCTTTTTTCTGTTCTCTCTGATTAGCCCAATTCCAGTATTCTTCTGGTCAGTGTTCCTCAACCCATAGCAAGTGACCAGTGATCTCTGTAAAGACACCATCTGCTCTTTGTTGGTTTAATGGCTGTTATGGCCAGATGTAACTGCCAACTGTAACAGCTTCCTGTTGTGTTTACGTGTAGGAAGCAGGAGGAGCTGGTGTACAGCGTGAGGAAGCGGCTGGAAGAGGCACTCATGGCCGATATGTTGGCCCACGTCGAGGAGGCTGCCAATGAAGGAGAGGCTTTAAAGGAAGAGGGCAATGGCAGTGAAGACATGGAGAGTGTATAGCACAGGTTGGTGGAAACACTGAAATGACAGTTTACTCAAAGATTAGATTTATGTGTTTAAACTCTGTATCACTGTTTATCTGTCCAGGCTTATTTTGTCCAATTGTGTGAATATTGGTTGTAGATAGATACATCACACTTCTCTTTTATAATAAAGGTAGATAACACTAATCTGCAGAATGAAAATAGTTCCTGGATGAATCCGGTCACAACAACTTTTTTGAGTCGTGACATATGCGGTGTACTTTGTGCACCAGACATTTAGTGCTAAGTAGACACAACACTGTTCAAGATGGGGAAGAGAGACGGATCCCCGGGAGGGTCACATCAGGGCAGGTATCCGGTGTAAAAAATCAATCAAATATATCAAATATACGCATTAATGGGGGTGACCCCTGGATGAATAAGTGAGCGCCTGGAAAAAAGCTTGAATTCAGTTACCAGTCTTAGTTGATTTAGTGGATAATGTGAGGAATTTGTATTCATTATTGGATTAGTTCCTACAGTTTGTGTACTCTGCATGTCTGTGTCTGTCATGGCTGACCACAGTAAAGTGTTGAGCTCAAATCTGCTGCACACACCTGGTAGTTAAGCAGATAACGGTCAGATCATGCTGTCACCATAAACAAACCATTCTGGAATTCATTTGGATCAGAGACCCTCCAAAGGGTCCATGCCTGGTTGCTTCGGTTCTCACCGGAGTGTTTGCATCTTTACAAAAAAATAAGAGGTTTGATTTAAACGGACACAAGTGTGGAAATGTGTTAGCGCCAGCATCTCCAGAACAGGGCAGCTTGCAACAGGACATTCTAGCTCACGGTGTGTCAGCAATAAGTTGAAATCACGTCTGCTTAATATTAATTTTATGTCTTTTTAAGGTTATCGGGGGGGCTCGCCGCAACAGTCCCAGTTTCTATTTTAGCCCATTGGGAAAATTAATTACTCACCGCTGTTCTAGGTGGATGAGCAGCATTAAAGCCAGAGGTGGGAAAAACGTGTATAAATGTAATATACTGGGGTTACCTGTCTCTTTTATAGGCCTGTAAGATAAATGTGGGGGAGAAAATCTACAAAAAACGACTGGAACAAAAGCTTTGACGCGTTCTGCAGTTTGTTTTTTTTGTTGCAAACCCAGAACCGTTTCTCAGTGATGATCCAAATCATTCCTGTTCTGTAACTTAGTGCAGTCATTACACTACACTGTATAAAATATCACCTGTGCAGTAAATCGATTTGCTAATATTTTTTTCTTTTGTAGGTTTTTGCAAAGTCCAGATTGAGTCGCTCTACGCCTACATCTACGACCATGAACAGTAGGATTCCCCATTCCAGTCCAGCTCTGAAGAACCTAAACCTAAGCCCGACTTATTCCAGTACGACCTAAAGAGCCCTTTTCCCTTCGCCTGACCCCAGAAACAAGTCTCAAATGCATCCGTTCATCAATAACTCCACTGGATGGACTCCTCGGCCGTATTTTAGAGCCCACGTGATTGTTATTGAGGAAATGAAAATAAATAAATAAATAAATGAAATCAAATGAACTTTCGAATACTAAAATAATAACTTATCTAAATCGTGGCAAATTCAGTGTTCGGTGATAAGTGTGTTTTCTACTAAAAAGCTTTGAATGAGTATGTATTTTTTGTGACAATCACGTCAAATCTGAACAAAACTCGATTTGTTCCGGGCAGATTGGAAGTGAATGTTTTTGTACGTTTGCCATCTCTCTTTCTTGAATTTGTACGATACACTCCTGACGCAGCACACGCACAGCTCGTCCTTACGGTTTAGTTTGTGTCCGTTGGAACGGGCAGAGTCCAGTTTTTGTTGTCATTTTGAGAAAACATCTGCGCCAGCTGCATTGTGCTGAGTCCCGTTCAGTATTGACCAAAGAGGAGGCAGTCGTTCTGAAAGGCGTTTTTGGCTTTGAGGTGAAAAGAGCGCACGACGGGACTGTGGGCGAGAAATGACGCGAGACCTCTTTCCGTTGTACACTTATTACTGTTTTAACTCTCATCATCGTTATAGGTGCTTACTGATGTTGTGAGACGCTGCTTATTCAAAGCTTTGTTACGATCACGGCTTCAGTTCGTGTATTTTCTTTTTAAAAATAATTCTAATGTGTCAGTGTTACCACACAATACGCTGCCTCCTCTGAAACACACGCACAGAATTGGGTAGAAAGCAAATTAGCTGAATTTTAGACTCACTGTCTTTTCATTGTATCACGCGAGCGGTAATATTTTGTATTTTTTAATCCCCAGTGAATAATGCGTCCCGCTGAAATCATGAAATTCCCTATAAAACATCAGCAGGCTGTTTGCTGAGATGAATTTGATTGTATTGCTTATTAAAATGAGTCAGTATGTCACAAAATGTGCTGAGTGTTTTTTTTTTTTTTATGCCTTCAATGATCACCTCTGGACAAATGTTTCACACTCGGCACATCCAATCACTGCATCTCCTCGCAGATTAACAGTTAACTTGCCAGTCCTCGTGTCTTTATGTGGACAAAGTGCAAGCTACTGTCAGCTGGATGTGACGCGGCTTTGCAAGGAGAGGGAGGATACCGGCTGTTTGCTCAGAGGGACCTGCAGATGTTACCTTGTCTCTTGTGTTAAGTGATGTTTGTCCTCGTGCTTTGAATCATTAAAGATGGCAACACTGGAATTGTACAGCAAGGTAAGATTAGGATTAACTTGAGGGCTTTGCAATGATTTATTATTATTTATGGAATCTGCAATTTCGAGGTGCTTGGAATAAGAAACATCCTTTAGTGTATAAAAACAGCTTTGCTACTTATGTTTGAGCACTAAGTAGATGCATCCTATGAGTTTGTCAGGTAAGCAAGTCTGTTTCATTGTCCTAGTTAGGACTATTCCTGATCTTTGATCTGGTAGCAGTGTGTTAGTCTGAGGTATTAAAGTGTTTACTGAATATATGAAAAATGTGTGAGACTGGAAGCTTATTTTTAAAATCTGTGCATTAATAAGTGAATTAGCGAATTAGATTTCTCAGCTTTAAACAATGCCTAATCCTCGCGGGTAGTTTGGAGGGAGGATGACTGCGGTTAATTTTTAACACAGTTTAGGAGCTTTTTATGCTGATGGGTACCAAATAGCTTCACTGGGTGAGTCCAGGAAGTGTGACATCTACCTTAACAGTGTTCAACAAAAGTAAAATGGCAAATAAAATCAGCTTTCAGATTTTTCAGCACATCCAGATTAATCCTGCACTTTTCTTCTTTTTTCACTCAGTCTGTGTTTTGCACACCAGTGACAGTCTGTTCCTTTTTTAGGGGGCAAATGTGTGGGTTCCTGATCCAGATGCTGTCTGGGTTTCAGCCCAGCTTCTCCAGGACTACAGGTCTGGAGAGAAGCACCTGCTGCTACAGCTCTCAAATGGAAATGTGAGATGCAGTACTGTTTTACGCTCTATAGATTAAACCAAATGCTCAATTTTGATATAATTGCATCTGTCTAAAACCCCTTTCTCAGCGATGTCTTACATCCGAGACTTCTAACTTCCGCTTTCAATGACAGGAGGTCCATTACCCAGTGGGCTCTCCCTCTGATCTCCCACCTTTGGGGAATCCCGACATACTGGAGGGCGAGAATGATCTAACAGCTCTTAGCTTTCTCCACGAGCCCGCTGTGCTGCATAACCTCCGGGTTCGATTCCTGGACTATAGCAGCATCTACACATACTGTGGTGAGCACTGCACTGGAGAGATGGCAGGGAACTTTAGAAAAACAGGGATGATTACTCAGCCAACAATAGACTGGCGAGAGTGAGAGAGGATCTTTAAATTCCTGCTGGAAAAAAGCCAGAAACAGCTCCTGTGTGCTTCTGTCTGCATGATTATACTGCAGCTCATAATGCTGTCTATAATATAGGAGGTCAAAGGCTCAAACTACACCCTCACTGCTACACTGTAAAAGGAAAGAAAAAAACTCTTATGTATGTAGTTGCACATTATCTTTGAATTAGATGACTCATCTTACTAAATCTTCATTTTTATATATAAATGTTTGACCTTTTTCATGACCAGACATCTCAATATATATTACACTGAGATGGCAAAGATCCTATATCCAATAATCCAATGATCCCACATGAGCAGCATTTGGCCATGGTGTGAAAGAAGAACTCACTTTGAAGGGCAAAGACCTCTGACAGATCCAGGCTCAGGGAGGGGCAGCTACAGCCATGTGAAAAAGAAAGCTTGCAGGACTCTGTTCAGCCCCGTGAAAATTAAGCCCACCTTTACTGCTTCCAATTAAAAGGAGAAGTACGAGCGAGGTGCTGCTAATCGAATGCACTTGATTAACTTTAGTTTATACGGTTTAAGGTTTTGGTAATTTGCTGGTCTCTGGCAATCTGGTGCTTAACAAAATCTTCCAGCAAATTCCCTCCAAAGTCCCCTGAGAGTCTACAGGCCTCAGTTAGCACATTAAATGTAAAGGTTTATGATGGTAAAGTTAGAAAAAGTCTGAAAGGTTCCAGGAAAAAGCCTCTGCTCTCTGAATAGACCATGGCAGCACAGCTTAGATTTGCAACGTTGCGTCCGAACAAACAGATGAGACCAAAATGGAGATGTGTGATCATAAAGCACAGCCTCAGTGTTTGGGAGGAAACCAAAAACGGCATATCAGGACAAACACCTCACACCAGCTGTCCAGCATTGTTTCGGGCTTGTTCTGCAGCCACAGGGCCAGCGCACCTTGCAAACCTCAGTGAACTGAAGCAATACTTTCAAGCAAAATTCCTCCACAGCGATGTGAGAGCCTGATAAAGTCATGCAGAAAACAATTACTTCAAGTTATTGCCCACTAAAAGTGGTTCTACAACCTACTGAATCATGGTGTTTACTTAGTTTTTTGCAGGATTATATAAAGTCCTTCTTCTTCACATGATTGTATCTGCTATGATTGAGAGAAGCAACCAACAACAAGCAGGAAATGACCTGCTCCAGAAAGAGTGAACAAAAGTTAATGAAACGTAGCAGTGTCACATTATATTAGAATTTCAAGTTTTATTCTAAAATCTGTTTTTAAATAACAGCCATGTTTATATATTCAGGTATATATTAATATTCAGGTTCTCGTGGTGAGATTGCGTTTCCTTCCCGTGTCTCCAGGTATTGTGTTAGTGGCCATAAATCCATATGACCAACTTCCAATATACGGAGAGGAGGTGATAGACGCTTACAGCGGTCAGGACATGGCTGACATGGAACCACACATCTTTTCTGTGGCTGAGGAGGCCTACCGCACTATGATCAGGTCAGGGGTCCTGGGTGTTTGGTGGTCTTATGCTTAATTAACTTTTTGAATATTCTGAGCATTAACTACACTGTGTGGGATGTCATGGTCACTGTGTCTTTGTGCAAAGGGAGGAGAAGAACCAGTCTATCATCATCAGTGGGGAATCTGGCTCAGGGAAAACTGTCTCTGCAAAGTTCACCATGAGATATTTCGCTGTGGTTGGAGGAGCAGCACAGCAGACCAGTGTGGAGGAGAGAGTTTTGGCTTCCAACCCAATCATGGAGGTAAAGGACCCAAATATTTCCCTCTTTTTGTATGTTCGTTATGGTTAAAAGTTTTAATATCAAATTTAGGAAGCGCTGCACACCTGAATCAGTGACAAAAAATCTTAGTAAAGAGACAAAGAATAACCTCTGCTCACCATTATTTTTATTAGTATGCAACATTTCGGTCTGTGCAACTTTGTAAGGTACAGAGTATAAAAAATTCTACTAATATAAAAACTTCTATATTTTGGTCTTCAGTCCATTGGTAATGCTAAAACTACCCGAAATGACAACAGCAGTCGTTTTGGGAAGTACATCGAGATTGGCTTTGGCAGAAAGGGGGACATCATTGGGGCCAATATGAGGACCTATCTGCTGGAGAAGTCACGGGTGGTCTTCCAGGTAAACTAACTTGCTACAATATAGTTAGGCCAGAGCAAAAAGCCACACAAAACCACAAATGTCTTGTAGAAATGATGCATCATCCGTGCTTTCTTCCTATTTGTTTGTTTTAAGGCATCAACAGAGAGGAATTACCATATCTTCTATCAGCTGTGTGCATCCAGAGAGCTGCCTGAAATGAGGTCCCTCAAACTGGGTGAGAGGCAACCCCCTCAGTTTGTTCTCAGAAGAATACCGTGTCCACGTTAATAGGTTCACAGTGCACTGAGTGTGAGTGTGTTTTATTGAGTCCAGATGCTCCTGAGAATTTCCGCTACACTAACCAGGGAGGAGAGATGCAGATACCTGGTACTGATGATTTGTCAGACCTGGAGCGCACTCGCAATGCTTTCACCATTCTGGGTAGAATGTTTACATCAAATCATGCACGTACGATATATCTTTGACGATAAAACAGGAAATCCTTCACGTTATATATGTTGAAATTGCAGGTGTGCAGCCTGACCAACAGATGGAACTCTTCAGGATCCTGTCAGCTGTGCTCCACCTGGGAAATGTCAACATTCAAGCCAGTGGGCGAAGCTCTGACCGGGGTTACATTGATGTAATGATCTACATGAATACTTTTGCATTCACTCGTCTTTTGTTCATATTCCTTCATAATAGTTGCTTTGCTTCTCAGGCAGAGGACCGCTCTCTGGCTGTCTTCTCCAAGCTGCTTGGAGTTGAGGGATCTCAGATGGCTCACTGGCTGTGCCATCGCAGATTTGCTGTAGGAGGAGAGATGCTGGTTAAACCTATGACTGGCCAGCAGGCCGTAGAAGCCAGAGACGCACTTGCTAAACACATCTATGGTCAGCTGTTCGCGTGGACTGTCCAGAGGCTCAACTCAGCTCTGCGGGCCCAGCAAGGACGGACCAAATCCTTTGTAGGGGTTTTAGATATCTATGGGTGAGTGAATGAACTCTGTGACTGTGCAGTGTGTGATTAAAGTTTTTGTATGCCTTTGACGTGGACTGACAGGTGTCTCCCTTGGAGCAGGTTTGAGACCTTTGAAAGGAACAGTTTTGAGCAGTTCTGCATAAATTATGCAAATGAAAAACTGCAGCAACAGTTCAACAGAGTAAGCTGTCGTCCTTTCCCTCTGTGATTTGTGCCCTTCCTGTTTGTGTCGTGTTTGTCAGAGTTAGTTTATGCTGCTTTTGAACTGTTATATCAAAGAAATCAGTCCTTTCACCTGCGCTCACATCACTGTCTTTTCAGTCTTTTGTTGGTTTCCATCATGGGTATGGTCTTTCTCTAATTCTGTCTCATTATTACTTGTTTGGTGGTGTTTGCAGCATGTGTTCCACTTGGAGCAGGAGGAGTACGTCCGTGAGGAGCTGGCATGGAGCCGGATTGAGTTCAGTGACAATCAGCAGTGCATCGATCTAATAGAGGGACAGCTGGGCATGTTTGATCTCTTGGATGAGGAGTGCAGGGTCGGTCATCCAATCCTCTAGTTCTGTTCGTTCTCGTATCTTTTTTTTCCTGTGTGGATAAAAGCATTTGCATGTTAACTAATTTAGACATTTGTGACAACTGTGTTAGTATGTGTAATAACTGTCCATCTGTGCATTATCCAGATGCCTAAAGGTTCTGATGAAAGCTGGGTGCGCAAGCTGTACGACCAGCACCTGAACAGCAAGCCTCACCCTCACTTCAGGAAGCCTCGCATGTCAAACAGCGCCTTCATCGTCCTGCACTTTGCTGACACAGTAAGTGACATAATGCTGGATTCGTCAGGTCTCAGGTGAATATCTGAGCTCTCTCTGAGGGCCTTTTGTAATTCTCTTCAGTGTGTCTGTGTTTGCAGTGATGGTTTCTTTTCTTTTCGTCAGGTCCAATATGAATGCGATGGCTTTTTAGATAAAAATCGAGACACGGTCTTTGAAGAGCTCATTAACATTTTGAAAGCAAGTCAGGTAGATATGTTCTAAATATATATGAATTTATAATTTCTAAGCAACATTAGTTTCACCAGCGCTGTATGTGTGTGTGCGCGCTTCAGTCTGAGCTGGTCGCTGAGTTGTTCCAGCAGCAGAGAAATGCGTCTCCTGTGGCCAATGGAAGCATTCGCTCAGGTAAACGAGCCACCAGAGAACACAAGCTGACAGTAGGCTTTCAGGTTAGATGTTTTTCTTTCTTTTTTCATTTATCTTTTCATTTTTTTTGCACATCCATTCATCCTAAACATAATTTTCCTGCTCATTGTTCTTTTTTTTGGGCCTCTCAGTTCCGTCAGTCCTTACAGATGTTAATGGAAACTCTCAACAGCACCACCCCTCACTACGTCCGCTGTATTAAACCCAATGACCTCAAAGAGCCTTTTCTGTGAGTCCTTATTTTGCTTACTTCCACAGCTTTTTGGTGTGATTTAATGGGTACTGCTTTTATAACATTATATACATGTTAGGTTTGACCCTAAGAGGACAGTCCAGCAGCTAAGAGCTTGTGGGGTGCTGGAGACCATCCGCATCAGTGCAGCAGGTTATCCGTCCAGGTACTGAGTAATTCTAAGACTTTAGTCTTTATAATACGAGCACAGTGTCGTGACAGTGTGGCTCTGAGACATGTGCGAAGATTGTCACATAAATCAGAAAACTTAATCAAAACAGTGACTTAAATGCTATCACGAAGTAGCAAAAGAATCAATTTGTATAACTGTTCATTGAGATTAAATAATTATCTTATTGTAAATGGTTGATTGATCGATTTTTATGTTATAAAAACAGAAATATCAACTGTTTTTCTCTGAGATTTACTCTATTTGATCTGTGAATCCAGATGGACGTATGAGGAGTTCTTCAGCAGGTATCGAATTCTTCTTCGGGGACCTCAGAGCCAGGACCAGGCCCAGGCCTCGTGCAGACGGGCCCTGCCTCAGCTCATCCCAGATCCGGACCAGTACTGCTTTGGAAAGACAAAAGTATTTTTCCGGGCTGGTCAGGTGGCTCTTTTGGAGAGGTTGAGAGCTGAGAGACTGAGAGTGGCTGCTGTGATCATCCAGAGTCAAGTTAGAGGATGGCTGGCACGGATCAGATACACCAGGATCCTCTGGGCTACTCTCACCATACAGAGATACAGCAGAGGGGCGCTGGCCAGACGGTGAGGACAGCAAGAGTGTTTGTGTCTCTTTACTATGATGTATGGCTATGTCAGGCTAAGCCACTTCATTTCTTTTAAAAGAACAATTGGAATGTTCTAGAATTCTTGTTAATGTTTGAAACACTAGATATGATGACCCAGATTTAGAAGATGATTGTAGTGAGAGTAGGTAGCAGGTGAAGGAAAGCTTTTGGAGGTATGCTCTGAGAAAAGAATGAAAGTAAAAGCAAGAGAGGGAGATGGGTGTAACAATGAAGCTGCAGGGAGCAGAGGAAATGAAGGTGGATGAGTGAAAATACCTGGAGTCAGCTATCAAAAGCAGAGAGAGAGGTGAAGCAGTGGGTGGAGTGGGTGGAGATGAGTGTCAGCGGTGATTTGTGACAGAAATATAGCAGCAAGAATGGGAGTAAAGGTTTAAAAAATGGCAGCGTGACCTGTTATGATGTCTGGCTTGGAGACGGTGGCACTGACGAAAAGACAGAGAGCTGAGATTGAGGCGTAAAGCTCCTCACTGGACATGATTAAGAATGAGTCCATCGCAGGGACAACTCAGAGTCAGACAGCTGAGATGGTTTGCACATGTGCAGAGGAGGGCGAGAGGATGTTGAAGATGGAGCCGCCGTGAAGGAGGAAAAGAGAAGGTGCAGGGATGTAGTGAAGGAGGACATGCAGAGGGTTGGTGTGACAGAGGAGGATGCTGGGATAGGTTGAGATGGAGGCAGATGAACCACGGTGGAGATTCTTAAAGGGAGCAGCTGAAAGAAGACAAAATGACAAAAGTCTAAACTTAATAAAATATTCCATATATGAAACTCTTCTTTGTTGCATGGCTGCAGACTGGCTTTGATCCTGCGCTACACCAGGGCTGCCTTGGTGATCCAGAAGACTTATCGTATGATGGTGGTCAGGCAGCTATTTTTCATGATCCGACACGCCACTGTCACAATCCAGGCATTCACCAGGGGGATGCTGGAGCGCCGCAGATACAGACTGGTCAGCATTTAGTGTCTCCCTCATTACAGGGCACAGCAGATGTTTAAAAAATGGCATCAACCTTTATACTCGGGTTTGATTTATTTTCCTGTGTAAATATGTTTTATCCATGTTTGCTCTAATCTTAAAAGAGGCTATTTACACGCAATTACAAGTTATAAACACTTGACCTGAATGCATTTAAAAACCTGTTGGTTCCTCAGCTGGTGGCAGAGAGGGCGGCCGTGCTGCTCCAGGCCACGGTGCGTGGGTGGTTGGCGAGGCAGGCGTACAGGCGCGTACGTGCGGCGGTCGTGTTCATGCAGTGCTGCATTCGCCGCAAGGCTGCCAGGAGACAGCTGCTGAAACTGAAGTCTGAGGCCCGCTCTGTGGAGAGATACAGAGAGCTCAACAAAGGCATGGAGGTCAAACTGATGCAGCTGCAGTTGAAAGCAGACCAGGAGGTGGGTGAGAGTTGTGCAGGGATTTGACCATCTCATGTGATTTTGATAAGCATTAATTAATTGTATGAGTCAAGAGGTCGTTTCACTTTACATTCACATGGCAAAGTTGCTTTTGTGTGCATCCAGGCCAGGGAGAGCGCTGCTTTGAGAGAAACCCTAATGGCAGAGCGAGAGGCTTCCAGCACCGAGCTGGCGGCTCTGAGGGCAACGATACAAAAACTAGAGAGCCAGTTACAGGAGAAGCCTCCGCCTGGGCCTGTTATCAGCGAAAAGGAGGCAGAGGAGAGAAGAAGAGCTGAAGAGAAAGCTGCCCAGGAGATCCTCCAGCTTAAAGAAGTAGGTCTCCAAACAATAAACACACTTTCCTCCTTTTATCTAGTAGGGAATGCTTCTGATTTGGTCTGTTTATTGACTTTGATTCTTTAAGGAGCTGCAAGCACTACAGAAAGAAAGGGATAGTTTTTGCAAAGAGAGAGACGATCTCTCGGCTTCCCTGCTGGAACAAGAAGAAAAACAAGAAGGTGGGCCTTCCCTTTACTAGCATTGTACAGTCACAGCTGTTTTTCTTCTGTCTGTGTCTGTCAAACATTTCCTTCTCTCTCTATGTGCAGAGTGTGTGCATCAGGCTGTGTCTCAGGTGACCTCGGCTCTTCGGGCAGAGGTGGACGAGGAGAGGAGAAAGTATCAGGGTCTTCTGAGAGAGTTCACCAGACTGGAGCAGAGATATGACAACCTCAGGGAGATGAGTCTGCTCACAGAGGTCATTAGCTAGCTGCAAAGGGAGACAGCCTTAAATGCAATTTGTTCGTTTGAAAATTAATCTTGAGTGCTTCCTGTAATTTCTTCCTCCTCATGTCGCAGCGCACCAAAGGCCACAGAAGAACCGACTCCACCCAGAGTCTGGAACCTCTCTCTCCCTCGACGCCGCTGTCCCCCCAGTCTCTCACCCCACTCTCCATATCACCATTCCCATCTGCTGTTCCATCCCCAGAGGAGGTCCGAAGGATCAGCGTGACGTCCCCCTCTGCAGAGAAGAGAGTCTCAATGTGGAGCTCTGAAGCCTCAATGGTAATGAAATAAAGAGGACCACACGACTGAAGTCCTAACTTTCACATCGTCACTGCAGCATCACCAGCACAGGCAGTGTCCTTTACTATCTCACTGTGTTCATGTTTGTAATGACAGGAGCAGCTGATGGAGAAGATGGACGTGGCCAAAGACCCATCGGTGAAGATGAAGGGAGAAGATCTGGCTCATGCTTATGATGCTGTACGAGTGGCAAACAAGTCAGTCTCTCAACACCAACTCATTCCTTCATTTTGGCAGAGCACTAGCTTTCAGTTTTGTGCAGTGATTTATATTTGGTGGATGAGCTCATTATTAGTTATTCTGTCCTTAATCTACATGTCTGTGTGTGTGTTTCAGGTTTCTGGAGAGCCAGCTACGTAACCAGTGCAGTCAGTGGGAGAAGGAACTGGAAACTCTGAGGAGTCAGCTTGCCCAAGCGGTGTCTGTTTCTTCCTCTGCTGCACAGAGACAGGTATAAATTTATTAAAGCCCCACATGAGAGGGTTTTTAAAAAAAAAAGTACTTTAATGATCTTTAATGAAAGCCTAACACTAGGAGAAGGGCTGGAAAAGTCAATAAAAGGAGAGGTTAAAAAAAGAGAAGAAGTTAAAACAGAAAACATTGCCTAAAGCAGGGGTGGGGGAACTCCAGGTCTCAAGGGCCAGTGTCCTGCAGGTTTTACACGAGCCCTTAATCCAACACAGCTGATTGAAATGCCTAAATGACCTCCTTAACATGTCTTGAAGTTCTCCAGAGGCCTGGTAATGAACTAATCATTTGATTCAGGTGTGTTGACCCAGGGTGAGATCTAAAACCTGCAGGACACCGGGCCTTCAGGCCTGGAGTTTCCCAGCCCCGGTCCCCTTCGTATATTTTATTTATATTGTCTCTGTATTTATATATGTGTGTGTGTGTGTGTGTGTGTGTGTGTGTGTGTGTGTGTGTGTGTGTGTGTGTGTGTGTGTGTGTGTGTATATATATAATATTCTGTAACTCTGTAACTTCTGTCGGTGCTGTGCTTTTTTGGAAATCGAATTTCCCAGAGGAACCCACCCGAGGGATTAATAAAGTTCTATCTAATCTAATCTAATCTAATCTAAATAGTCACGGCAGGACATTTCACTGGTATCATTACTCAGGTCATAATAAAACTGTAAGAGTTCTCTGGATCTGATGGTTGTCACTTATTAAAGCTGTCCATCTGTAACGTTTATCATTTATTCATTCGTCTATTCATTTATTCTGTTTGCGTGTCACTTTGTTTCAGATCATCGTTTATAATTTTTATATATTCACATTGAGGCTGAAGTCACAAATTTAAATGTGTTTTTTAAAGGATATTCAGGAGCTGCTGGAAGCCCGAGAGCGTGAATGTGTGAGGCTGAGGAGAGAGCTGAAGGAACTGAGAAACACAGTCTCACTGAGGCGACTCCTGACACAAGGTGAGACTTTACCTGAATGAGCCCGGAAGCTGAAAGTCACTGCAGGCTGGAAAAAAATCTGCAGCCGCTGAGTCTCCTGTGGAATTTTAAAACAAAAAACATCAATGCAACAATAGCCTAACATAGGCTCCCTCACTGGGCCTATGACTGGCGGCTCTATCACTGATTTGATTTGTGTACATTTTGATCATGAGACTTTATTACCAATGGTAAATGAACACTTATTATTAGAGTAATATAATTACAATAATCTGCCTCTCAGTTTAACAATCTTCTACATTTATAGTTTTCAATGTGCTGTTCTCTGTTTCACTGCCACGGCGTGTTTCCTCTTCAGTTTTCCCATCAGCTTTGGCCACAGAGACTTCCTCTCCTGCCCAGTCGAAGCCAGCAGCAGTTACTGGTTTACTGGAATGTAGAAAAAGAGACGAAACCAAACTGATCAAGAATCTCGTCACAGGTGAGATCAACCCCCCGTCTGCCTCAATCATCTTCACCCACCTCTTTTTCTCTTCTTTCTTGAAGGTTTTGAGGAGCTGTGAAGCAGGCGTTTAAGATGAGGGATGAGATTGAAAACATGTTTTGAAAGGCAATAATCAAGCACTTTTACAATGATGGTAAAATGTGTCAAAATGTAATTTGGAGGGCAGGGTTTGAATGTGTAATAATTCAGCGGTAAGTATGATGTCACTGTAGAAATAAGTGTAGCCAGCTCTTGAAGCTGACAGCATTGGCCTGGCCTTGTCCTCTCTCTGCCACTGCTTCCCTTTCTGTTTGTGCTTCAGACATCCGTGTTGACAGCGCCCTGTCTTTGGCTCCCGGTCTGCCTGCCAGCGTGCTCTTCCTGTGTGTCCGCCAGGCCGACTGCAGCGGGGACCAAGCTCGCGCTCGCTCTCTTTGTAGCGCTGCTGTCACCGCTATGAAGGCAGCTCTGAAGGTGACCTGATCTCTGAGCCTTCTCGGTGTGTCGTATGGTTGAAGTTTAATGTTTGAGGACGGTTCACGTCGAGTCAGGCAGGCAGCCATTTACAAAATGACACTGACAGCTGACTTTGAAACTTGTCCTTGTGATTAATTTGGCCCACATGAGCATCTCATGCCAACATAACCATAGCAAAGTCTGTTTTAAACACATCTGTTCAAACAATCACAGTTTCATTTTTCATTGTTAGCAATGATTTCTAATTAAAATGTAACCATTTTCCCTTTCATCGTTTTTCTGCAGAAACATGTCAGTGACATAGACATGGCTGCTCTGTGGTTGAAGAACATCTGTCTGTTCCACGACTTGTTGACCCAGCACTCTCCAAAGCAGGCAGGCTCAGCTTTCATTTACTTTCTACGTCACTGACTAGATTATAAAAGTTTAGGATTCACTGATTACTTTCACACGTGACTGGACTGATTGCTTTTCAGACCCTCGACTCAGACACACTGGTTCCCCTGTCTGCTGATATGAATGACTTGATCCGCACCCTGAGCGACCTCTCTATCCAGGCCTATCAGCAGCTCCTTTCCATCACCGAGACCCGTCTACAAAACATCATAGGTACTGCAAAAAGTGATGATTGACGCTCTCCCCTTCTCTGCTCCTCTTATCTATTTTCTAACCCTCCCCTCCCTCAGTCCCTGCCCTGTTGGAGAGCGAAACCATCCAAGGTCTATCAGGCTCAGCGGTGAAGCTGGCAGTGAGCAGGAAGCGGGCCGGCTCAGACCCCAGGACTGTAGGAGGCGAGGCTCCCACGATGGCGTCTGTGCTGAGGGAGCTCGGAGCCCTTCACACCGCTCTGACTCAACAAGCTCTGCCCAAGACCCTGATGGAGCAAGCCTTTCACCAGCTCACCTACCTCATCTGTGCCTCTGCTTTTAACAGCCTGCTGCTGAGGAAGGACATGTGCAGCTGGAGTCGTGGCCTGCAAATACGGTAGAAACACACTTTAACCCTGCACTTAGATTTACAGTCTGACATGAGATGCAAATAAAGACGCAGACCATAAACATATTCCACATTAACTAGTATATCTTGATTTTGAAGTCCATAAATTTTAAAAAATTAAATGACCTCAATTTGTTTGTATCTCAGTTGTGTGATCTAAAATGAGGTTTAGTTGTTTTCAGATTAGCATTTAGCATGTAAAGGCCAAATAAAGGAAATTTGAAAGGAGATTAGCCCACAGCAGCCTAGACCTACTGCAGAGATGAATGTCATATGTATAATACAGCATCCCCACAAACACAGCTTCAACTTTAATAATCAGCACCCTGAAAGAGTGTCAACATTAATTTCGCCTTTGTTGTATTCCAGAGCTAGATCACGTGCTGCACAACAGTCTGCATGTTGTTCTTTCCACCTGCTTTGTGTGGTCTTATAGAAATAAACACGGATTTATCTCAAATCCTTTTCTTGTCACAGCTACAATGTGAGCGTCCTGGAGGAGTGGCTGCGGGGCCGCGGTTTACAGGCAGGGGGCGCTGTGGCCACACTAGAGCCCCTCATCCAGGCAGTGCAGCTGCTGCAGGTGGGGAAAAAGACCGAGGCGGATGCTCAGGGGATCGTCCGGACTTGCAGTGCCTTGTCCAGCCAGCAGGTGGGTCTGTTTGTCTACTTGGATTCTGCTGGGAGACGAACGTGTGTGCATGATTTCATTGGCTGCTGGTCTCTTATTTTGTTTGACAGATCGTGAAGATTCTGACTCTCTACACCCCCCACAGCGATCTGGATGAAAGAGTCACTCTGAATTTCATACGTTCTGTTCAGGTACAGTCTGCAGATGTAAGGTTAAACATGTTCCTCATGTGGAAAATACACTGCATCCCATGTTCCTCTCTGTCTTTGCTGTCCTAGGGGCTTCTCAAAGGCCGCTCTAACAGTCAGCCTTCACAGCTCCTAATGGATGTGAGGAGAGTGTTTCCTGTCATATTCCTCTACTCGCCTCCCCCCGTCCTCAGCGCGGAGCAGTTAGTCATCCCAGACTCCCTCAAGATCTCCTTTCTGCGCAAAGCATAAGAAGCAGGATGCAAATTTATTAATGCTCCAGTGAATTTAACTCCTAACTTGCTGAAGTTATTCCTTGGAAATTGAAATGACTTACTGAGAATTTCTTCTTTCAGACTTTTAAAATGTGCATTAACTTGTTTAATTAGGCTGTCATCGGTGTAGTCTGTATCTTATAGAAGGTTGCGAGTTATTTCAGAAAGGTACATCTCGGAAAAATAGCTAAAATGGCATGAAAGAGAGCACGTGTTAAAGACCTGGATAAAATTAAATCAATATAACTAAATAAAACTAAATGTGGCTATTCCTTTGAACAGTTTGACAAAGAATGACCACGAGCTTTTATTTCATATTTTATTGGAAGCAGAAACACAATGAGACTGCAGTCCCAGCAACCTCAACCCCCAATAAGAACAACCATAATAATAATAATAATAATAATAAAAAACAAGCCCAAAAGAAAGAATCTTTAGAAACATCTCGTGTATAAAAAAATTCTCATGCGAGTACTTTGTACCACTACACAGCATCAGTAATACATATTTATATATTCACAAACATTTGAAAAATAGAAAACGATAATTAAATATCAAAATAAAGAAGACAACAATTGGCAGTTAAACATCAAATAATTATGCGTGCTGGCACAATACACGTTTTTTTACTTTTTGTTTATTGTTCCTATCATGCACCGTATCTGGAAGTACCGGACCAGCAGCGCTGTGCAGGTATCTGTCTGTGTGGCCTGCTCAGCGAGACACTTCAGGACGGATCATGCATGTGTGTCCACTTGTGTCTGTGTGCTTTTCGTTGTGCTTCATCCACCTCTGTGTGTGCGTTCCTGTTCAACGTGCCAACCTGATAATCCAACACGCAGTCCGGGCCTCTGAAGGTGGAGGAAGGGGAAGAATTTCCTCTCCTAAAGTATCATTGTCAACAGCAATAAAGTTTTTGTTTTTTTTCGTGGCATTTCCAGCTGCGTACCTGTTATTGATTTTGCTATTAAAAGTAGATGTGCCCTCTTAATAAAAGACCTTGTACACACACAAGATCATATTAAGGGATTGCTTAACTTTTAGCTGTGAGTAGTTTTCACTAGCAGGCAGCATGTTATATATAATGATATACGATGCATTACTTTGAATGGCTCCTGATCAGGCCCCATTAAAGTAATACAGACGCTCTGTTATTGATCTCTAGAGTGCACGCGGTCTTTCTATACCCTTCAATAGTAGCTACATTTCCAGATTGGGCACCCAGTCGCACATAAACACCAGCTGTGCAGTCACTCGCAGCAAAATTCAAGTCTACAAAAGAGCAGCGAAACTTCACTTCACATAGTATGACGTGTGTTTGTTACATCCGAGCTATTTACAACTACCCGACCGCAGCGATCGATCTCCCTCCCGATCGGTTTCCTCTGAGCTGACCAAACTTCCCGTCTCTGGTCAGCTCTACCGCAGCTGTGATGTTTGGCCCATCGAAACAGAGACGGCATTTACAACATATCAGACAAACGCTTGTGCTGATATAATTAGAATAATAATCCACAATGTAAACATTATAAGACTGATTCCAAATCACTCATCTACAGAGACTTTATAGATCAGATGCATAGAGTTCAGTTTGTAGGCCTTGTTCTAATAATGGGGACTTTGATATTATTCAGGTTTGGGAGGGGGCATCTTAGTAATGAGGCAGAAAAACATCCAACCAACCGATCATCCTGTTATTATCATCACCCCCATGATTTTTTTGTTCACGAGAAAACAACAAATATATTATTTTTTTTAAAGGGTATTTTCTTAAAAATAGATGTCGCATTGAGAGACATGTTAGACAGCGAGCAGTCGTTTTAAAACATTTAGTTTCACATGAAAGTGACCGTAGCTTCAGGTGAACTGCTGTAAAACAAGCTCAGAGTATAAATGTGTTTTTATGTGTAGCAAAGCCCCTGTGCTTCTTCTATTTTCACACTACATCTCTGTACTGTGGACAGTAGGCCCTCTTTTAAATGTCACATCCAGACCTGGCTCGGTCTGGATCTGCAGCCCTTTAGCAGAGGTCTCGTTTCTCACTCACGATTAAGGGTTACGGCATCTGCAGGTGGATCATTAGACGCGATAAGCGCTGGATCATTAGCGGTATGTGCTCTCCCCGTGTTGGGGAATGTGCTGTTGTGTAACCCACGTGGTTATTTTAGCTTCTCAGGGACTGTGTTTTTAATCATCTAATTATACATGTAGGACTTTAATTAGCACGCACTTTTTAAAGGCAGTTGACTGTCCTTACAGAGCTGCCTGGCTGAGGAATGTTTGCAGTAAACCAGGTGGAAATATCCACCGCACAATATAACCTTGGTCTGTGATAAATTAAACAAACTGAATGAAACAATAAAAATCCCCCGAATCTTATCGCACTCCCGCTACACCCGTTGTGACGTCCTTCACTTGTGATGGCTTTCACTGATTACATCTGCAGGTGACAGACAACACGGGCGGTCACACGAGGTTGACATTAGAACGTATTACAAACACTGGATCGCACATTCACACTCATTTTCACACACATACAGTCCGATGATTTACAGCGCTTGATCATCAGGCTCCGCTCTCTATCATATAGGAAACAGGACATACATAATGTGCAAGGGTTAACAAGACGGAAGGCATTAAGGGTGTCAGGCAGTGTGCTCTGTTACAGGGTAGACGGACAGAGAGACGGACGAGGACAATCTTTAGCCGACCACAGTTCCATCGAACAATCCTGTATTTATCTTTACATGTCCTTAATAGTTTATATATATATATGTGATGATATATAGAATTATTAAAATATAGATATAATCTGGAAGAAAAAAGTAAATAAATATTAAACTCATCATAACTAAATAGTGCTTTGTTCCCTGTATGTCTTCCCCACCCAATATCTGGAATGTTTGAGGCTGCAGCCATTGTAGTTGTTTACGGGTCAGGTGGACAGTTGGTCCGGTTGTGCTTAGGGCTGGTCTTGGCATATTTGAGCAATTCCTTGTTGGCACTTACGGTCCCTTCTCTAAGTGGTTGCAAACTAGGGAAGGGACGAGAGGAGCTGGGGGTCGGTGAAGTTGAGGGTAAGGTTAAAAAGGCAGAGAAAGAGTGAGAAAGAACGCCAAAATATTAAAGGCTACAAGATATTTCTCACCCTGACCAGTCAAGTGAGGTGTGCGTGTGTGTGTGGGATGACATGGCTCTCCTCTGGGATTAGAGGAAAGTAGTTATATGCTCTAAGATTAAACTCTATGTATAACTGAATCAAAAACATGTTTGATGAAGTCAGTAACAATAAAGACAATGGTGCGTTTTCAGAAAACGAGTGATGCTTTGCTTCGCACTCTGTCATTTCCACTGAAATAAATGTATTTACAGTATGTGTGGCGACTCTTGTCTTATGTGTGCTTTTACAACACTGGATAATCGGGGCAGTGGCTTGCAGTGGCTCAGGAGAGCTCCTGGGCAGATTCGAGTTCCTGACGTGGCATTTTAAACTGCGATTTGGCCCCCTAGCTACGGCCCTCCTCAGCAGAGCGCTGGTCGGACTTGAGCTTGACGAACTCCTTGGCCACGTCGTCGTTGTTGCGCTGGGAGAGGATGCGCAGGACGGTCAGTCCCGTCTCATCCATGTGGATGCGTTTACCCAGCGGCAGCCAGCAGGCGGCGCTGCCCTTAGGGGCCACGTCCTTCAGCTGAAGGACAGCCATGCCCACGGTGCGGTCCTCTCGAGCAAAGCAGTAGTCCTTCACGCACACCTGCAGCTCGTAGCACTCAGGACCCACCTCATTACTCAGGGTGCTGCAGAGTGGGGCGATGGAGAATATTACAAAAATCTCTCGAAACAATCCCTCAAATCATCGATGCACATCAACCACTTACAAAGTGAAGGTCTCGTTGTATTTGGGAGCCCAGCTGTTGTTCTTTGACTTCGTGGCGTACTTCCTCTTTTTGTCACTGAGGTGAGGGCCGATGATATAGACCTCCACAAAAGGCCGGAATATTCCTTGCGTCTGCCACCTCAGGTCATTTGCAGCGACCACTGAAACAGACAGAAAGACAGAGCTAAAGGAAGGAAAGAGAGCGGGAAGGTGTGGGTGACTGTGAGATTCGTGTGGAGAAAATGTGTGAAAAAGTGGAGCGGTAAGCGAGGGCGAGTGAACAGGAAACTCAGACAATACTGGCTCTCCCTCAGGCCTCACATTCAGTTTATGGTCAAGATAATGAAAATAGAATTGGAAGAGTATTCATTACAAAATCATATTTTTCTATGGCAGATGAAAGCTAGAGCTATATTCTGGTGCCCTGTTATGGCCATACAGTCCTGCCCGCGGGGTCTAGCAATGTTTAAATGTTAAACTATGACTTGAATGTTATTTCCAGAAATACCCTCAGATTCAGTCCCAATAAATGTGAAAACAACAAAGATACAAAATATTTTTGCTCACCTTTCACTGTGACTTTGTGCTCTCCGGTGTTCGGGTGAGTGAAAATCTCCACATGGATGGACACTTCTCCTACAGCATCGTCCACCCCAGAGCCTGACGGGACAGGACAAAGAGTAAAAGTGCCATTAATACCCTCGAGTCTCCCAATCTCCACTGTGCTAATGTCGCAGCCGCTGTGCCCTCTATTTCGAATTCTCCTCCATAATTAAATTTAAAAAAAGTTACACTTCCATTTCAGTTTCACAAAAGAAACAACGAAATGGACTCAGTTATAACCTGGTGAATATAAAGCAGAGTACTGACTATTCAAATGTTTCTTTATAAAATAATAGCGTTTAAAATAAAGCACAGAGTTCTGCTTGTGCATATGTTGTGGTCTGGAAGTGGACATTCAGACAAAGCAGCTATGAGTGGGCATATGTGTTTAATACCGGTAGTGTATAATAATAACAATAAGCCTGCAATAGCTGTATTATCTCCTTTGGTAATGCATTCTACGTTATGATTAAACCTGAGCGACTGAGAGGCAATCACTGTGGTAACTGTTGCCCACTCATAGATGCAAAGTGTCTGTTAGGATGCGGGGTGGTTAGTAAGAGGCAGAGAAGAAGACAGGAGAGAAGCTGGAGAAGGTCAGCTAACGGTGTGGATCCCCCCCCCACCGACACAGATCATGTCTGGGCATGCTCAGATGGATACACCCATTCCTTGGTAAAGTCTT